GAATTAGGTGAAGATCTACAGTTTTACATTCACTCATACACAGTTTCAGCTCATTTATAGCAATCCTCTCAGTGTACGATCACCTGTTCTGTTTTTCTTGTCACCCCTCATTTTCTGTTGTTGTCTGTCTCTGCTCCTCCTCCTCTTCTTGGGTAGATACTGTCCTTCTCGTTTATTCCCAGCTCGAAGGGTAGTCTGAGGGGCATAGTCTCTGGGCTTCTACCTATGTCTCTCCAATCCGTAATCTCATTTATGATTTTGAGTTTTGTTTTACATTCTTCTCCCACCTATCTTAGGACCTTCTAAGGTGATCCTTTTACAGAGTAATTGGTGGCGGCAGCCAGGAATCATCTAGTTTCTCTGGCCACAAGGGTGTGGAGACTGATGTTTGCTTGGTCCATTAATCCAGTGAATTGATTGTTTCCATATGTCTTGATTTTTAATCACAATTCTTTTCTTATGACTAATTACTGTTCACACAAATAGGACATAGAATAGTATCTTTCTGGGCATTAAGATTTAGTTGTAAAAAAAAAAATATTTAGTTGTAAATGAAATTCATGATAACAGAATACTTATCTGAGCGCTGAAACAAGGAAATGATCTACTTTGTTTAACTGGAGTTTTGTTAGAAATTTTGCCTTAGATTACACTTTACTAAGTATCTTTCTTAGGCTTACTGATATTAAGCATTTCCATCTGTTGAATTTAAGTATCCTGCTTACCGTATGTGCTCATGTATAAGCCGAGTCTTTCCACACATTATTAATGCAGTTTTTGTAGTAAAATTAGATGTCTTGGCCGATATTTGGGTCGGTTTATACTCAAGTATTTACGGTACATTATTTAAGTCAGTCATCCCAGCTACTCTTTTTTAATAATTTTTTATTGTGAATTAAGTGGGGGCGGGGTTACATTTCAAACTATTGGTTCTGCATTCAACAATTCAAACCACTCATCCAGCCCCAACCAACCCCCATGTTCTATCCTGCCCTCCTTCCCCTAGTTTCCCTCTCCCTCTCAGAGACCTCCATTCTCAGTTGCCCCAGGCAATGCTTTTCTGGCCTGTTGGTTCATCTTCCTACCCTAATCCTCCTTCCTTCAGGAACCTCCAAAGCTTGTTCCCTTTGGACATGCAAGTCCTCATCTTGGCTTTTAGCCTTATAGTAGGGATCTCTTACAACAGTTGTCCTTTTGTGATTGACTAACTTCATTCAGCAGAGTGTTCTCCATGCCCATCCAATTCATGAGGTGCTTCATAGTTTTGTTAATTTTTTTAGTGATTCATAGTATTCCACTGTGTATTTATCAACATTTCTTTATCCATTCCTTTATGGATGGGCATTTGGACTGTTTGCAAATTCTAACTCTTGAGAACAGTGCTGTAGTGGATATGGGAGTGCGTATGTCTGTTCATGTTATGGCTCTTACTTCTCCAGGGTTATATTCAGCAGAGGTATTGCTGGATCGT